CAACCCTGCCCCTGAGCCAGCATCCCAAGGGGGATCCCATAAGTGGGCCTGGGCTGGGTGGCCCAGCCGGTGGCCTAGGATGTGAGGAGGAGCCGGGGATGTGGGGCACAAGGACCAGCCGTGCGAAGGCCTGGGGCACAGGTTGCGGGGAACAGGGCAAGGTCCGGCACAGCAAGGGGACTGCGTGGCTGGCTGAGAGCCTGCCAGAAGAGGGTGGGGCTCGGGAGCCCCGCAGCAGAGGACGCACATGGGCCTCAAGGACAGTGGAGGGGGAAGCCTCGCAGGTGGACACTGAGCAACAGGAAGTGCAGAAGCCACCGTGGAGGCGGCCCCTCACTCTGGCCGGCCCTTGTGGCAGGACACTGCAAGGCCGAATATCCCCTGAGGGTCCTGGGAAAAGCCGCCCCCACCTAGAGGACTGGTTTCCCACCCACTGGTCCTGGAAGGCCACGGCCTCCCCTCCTGGAGCTGCCCCTGAACTCTGCTGAACCCACAGCTGAGACATTAGCCTAGAGGAGCCCCAAAGCCCCTCTGTCCAGACCCACGCCCAGGACACAGCACTGCAGGCCTGCTCCCCTTCCCGGGGCCTCTCCCACCCCAGGGGCAACCTGGCTCTGGAACACCACCCATAGAGACTGAATGTGCGGGAGGCAGCAGGTGGGTGGGGGACAGGGAAACAGCAGGGACACTCCTCTCCCTGCATTATTGATGGAGGCGTGGAACAGGAGCCCCAGGGACAGGAGGAGACAGCTCCCTGGCAGGCACCACTCCCAGCCCTCTGCAAGAAGCGGAGCCCATGATCCAGGCCAGCGAGGAGGCCGGGCACCAAGAGACTGCTCAACCCGCAGCTCTGCTCGGAAGCCCGAGTCCCCTGTGTGGTGGCAGGCTCAGAGGTGGCAGGAGGGAGGTGCTGAAACTTCCTGAACCCAAGGTGTCCTGGCACCTGAGCGCTCCCCCAGGTAAACCCCAGGGGTCTGGGTAGCTCCCCGGGCGAGGATGCTCAGAGCCTTTCAGGGGGTGTCCTGAGCCCGGGAGGCCCTGGTGGGCTCACACAGCCTCACAGTGCACCCGGCACACGTGGCAGAGGTGACTATGAAGGGCTGGATGACATCGAGCCAGGGCTGCACCTGTCTCCTGGGTTGGTGGGAAGGGAGAAAGCCCAGGGTCGCCGGCTGGGGTTTTGGGTGCACTCATGGACACGCCTCTCTTGGATTAGGCTGACTGGTGTGTCTGCCCTGGGGTGAGTACCTGCGGGGCGGCCCGGCTGGGTAGACAGGCTGGTGCCTGGAGAAGCCATCATGGAGGGACACTCAGGCCTGCCAGGAGCCTGAGCAGGGCTTGGTGGGCCTGCTCTCTTCTCCTGTGTGCCATAAGTGAGAGTAGACAGGGCCAGCTCACTCTAGGGCAGCTCTCGGTATCAGGAGGGGCCCAGACTGCCCCCTTGGCAGGAGGAGCAGTCCCAGAGGCCGGACCTCAGGGGGCTGCCCTGGGGCTGCAGGCTCAGAACCACCTCCCAGATCTGCGGCTGGCACTGCTTGACTTTCAGGGCACAGAGGTATCTGGAGGCCAGGGTGTGGGCAAGGACAGCCACTGGCCACCAGTTGAGTGAGCGGTGCCATTTCTGAAAGATGGTGTTCACTGGGTCTCTCCAGGGCTCTCAAGGGCCAGGGGAAGGGACTGTAAATAGTCCCTAGGGAGCAGTCCCCCTTGCTGTCTCTGGAGATCACAGAAGAGCCCCTAAGAAGCCACAGAGGGCCTCCACCGAGCCCCCAGCTGGCCAGTACCCCACCAGCAGCAAAAACAAGGAGGTCAAAAGGCCATCCTGGGTCACGGCCAGCCTCTACCTCCACGGACGGCCCTCACTGCAGGACTCCCACTTGCACCTAAGGGAATCCTGGTCGTGGGATTCCCAGAGGCAGGACTGGACCGGGACGGCCCTCCCCAGGTGTCTCGCAGGGACCACAGCAGCTCTTTTCTTGGGGCCAATCTGAGTACAGGAAGTTTCTACTGAGCTCAGGTTGCTTGCCCTCCCTCCACTGGGCCAGGCCTAACTGTACAGAAGGACCATCAGAGCAGAGGCATGGCCTGGGCCAGAAGCACCCCCAGAGCCACTGTTCCCACAGGACCTTGGGGACAGAGTTGGCCTTACTCAGTTCTAGCACAGCAGGAGTTCAGTGGCAGTGTATTCAGCCAGTGCCTAATGAGTGTTTCCTAGCAGTGAACTCCTGATTCCCCTGAGGCTATGGTGAGCTGTGACCGCTCCATGCTGTCCCAGCCCAGCTCTGGCAGACACAGGACACGAGGGCAAATTCTCAGTCACCTGCAGCTGGACTCAGGGCAGAATTGGTGGCGGGTGCTTCAGTCCAAAGGGACTAACTAAACGTGGATTGCCACGGCCATGCCTCATCCTGAGCCAGGACCCTGACACTCCAGCCACAGCCACGGCCCCCTGCCCCCTCCAGCCCCGGCAGAATCAGAGATCAGATCACAGTGTGGCAGACGGCACAGAGCAGGCACCTTGGGCTCTGAGTGGGGGCACCCAGCCAGAAGGCCAGTCCATCCAGCCAGGGCCTGTGAGTCCTCGCCCAGCCAGCAGAGACGCAGGGACATATCAGGGCTAGCGTGCCTGCAGTTGTCATGTAGACTGCCACCTCTGCGCCCCAGGCCTTCCTGCAGTCCCTCTGACAGCCCGCTCTATTATTGCACTCGCCTAATTAGGGTAATTAAATGAAATAACAAAAGCAAAGTAATGGGAAATCTTTTCGTGAACGGTCACCTCCCTGTGGAGTGCCTCCATCAATGTCAAGAACCAGAGAACAGGACAGGCCAGACAGGCAGATCTCCATGCTGACCACACCTGCCTGCACGCTCGGACCTCCACCAGCCTCTGCCTTTGCCACTCGCCACTGAGGCACTGGCCCAATGGGCCAGCAGGCCACATCTCAGGAGGGTTGGCTGCTGAGAAGGACATCAGAGGCCAGCACCTGGCTGGGCCCTCATCCCCCAGAAAACCCTCCAGTGCACTGGCCTGGCATCTGGGCACCTGAGCATCCTGAACTGGACACAAAACCAGTCCATCCCAGGATGATGACCCTGAGGGAGCAGCTGCCTTTGCCCTGGCTCAGCATCTCAGACCTGTGTCTCGCTTCCTGCTCCACGAAGGGGGTCCTTGAAATAGCACCCACACTGCACACCGTCCTCAACTCTAGTCCCAGTGTCTGGGCCTCACCAGGAAAAAGGTCAGGCAGCTCAGCAGGGCTGCCAGGGCCAGGAGGGAAATGAAAGGGAAACAGGCTGTGCAGGAAGGCTGTGCAGGAAGGCTGGGTACAGGGAAGGCTGGGTACAGGGAAGGCTGGGTGCGGGAAGGCTGCGTGCAGGAAGGAAGGGTGCAGGAAGGCTGTGTGCAGGAAGGCTGTGCAGGAAGGCTGTGCAGGAAGGAAGGGTGCAGGAAGG